AAAAAGAAAATAAGCGCATACAGGACGATCTTGATAAATCCAAAAAAGATAATGAGAAGCTCTCTGATTGTGTTCACTAGCTTGGAGAAGAAACAATGCGGTTACAATCAGAAATAGATAACTCCAAGCTTGGGGATGAAATAAGACATTTACATTCAGAGATAAATAACCTTAAGCTTCAGATCACTCACAAGGATATTTCTTTTGCAGATGCTAAAAGCAAATTTTCTATAAAATCGGAAGAAATGCAAGCCCTCCAATCCAAGATAGAGGAAGAGATACAGGCTCTCCAATCAAGAGTAAAAGAATTGGAGCAAGATCTTTCTTTAGCACAGAATGAATTATCAGAAATGGAATCTCTTGAGTATGAATTCGAACAAGAAAGATATTACTATCTGCTGAAAACACTACCCTAATTATAAAAAAATAGAGTTAGAAGAAACTCTGTCTAAAGAAAGAAATAAATTAATGCAAATAAAGGATAATTTAGCTTTAGCACAAAAGGCATTATTAGAGAAAGATTCCCTTCTTCAAGAAGCTAATACTCATTTAGCAAAGCAGATTTTGAAAGTATCCGGTAAGTCGAAGTATAATGAAGTGATTGGAGGTATTAGCAGACTAGAAAAAGGTAATAGCATCACTAATCCTGAAACAACCTCACTATCACCCAATTCTTTCTTTTAGCAGAATGCGGTCTTTATCATAATAATGATATTACTAATCATATACTTCCTATAGCACATATCCTCTTATATATATTCTTTTATTTCACTCCTTAATAAAGAAAAAAATATTCCAAATTATAAAATACCCTTAGATAGAAATCAGAGTTATGGATTCCCAATCTGTCATACAAAAGAACCAAAAAAAAGAACTACCACCTATGAAACTCTACCTTATGGATATAGATGAGGCTACAAAGCATGAATCATCCCGAAATGTTGGACATCCAGTGATATCATGGCCTTTCAGCATGATAGTCAGCTGAAGAAGTGGTACAGGTAAGACCAATTTACTAGCAAACCTTGTTCTTGAAAATAAATATGAGCATATATATAAAAGACAAAAAGGAGGATCCAAATATATTAGATGCGATAATTTGATAGTTTGCAGTTATCATCCTAATGAACCGAAATGGGCATTCGTTAGATATATGTATGGAATAATAGCAAGTAATCCCAAAGCGCCCTATTACGAGAACATTAGATTCAGCTACATATCACCAGAACAAATTCCTAGTGTGAAATCATTTTCACCTGAGAGGAGCACCGTAATTATTTTTGAGAATGTATGTGTTGCTCCCGAGTCTATCCAAAATCGAATTATTCCATTTTTTACACATGGGCAACATCGAAATATTTCTCCATACTATGTTACTCAGAAATATCATCATGTACCAATTATTATTTGTGAGAATATCTCCCTTCTAGTAATATATAATGGGGAAAGCAGTTATCAAGACGTGTTCAAGATAGCTGGCCAATATACTGATAATGTAAAGGGCGCATCTATGGTTATTAATAGCTACCTCCATAAAGGTGAGTTTGTTGTATTTGATCTCAGTAGGCCGGAGGATGATCCTCTAGCAATTCGGCTAAGATTCGATACACCATTGAACCTGCAGAAGGAAATAGAGGCAAGGCAGAGGCGCAAGGAAAAAAGTGCCTCAGCTAATGAATAGAATTAGTCAAATTGTAGATCCCCTATTTTCTCATAAATTTTTTTTTCTCATAAATTTAAAAAAAATATATTCGGATTTCTATTATATTTGGCTTCAAGCGATGAAATCACGAGAAGGCGGGATAAAATTTCACAAAACTCTTCACTCTGAAAAAATTTATTTTTGAAGAGGGATGATTTGTTTGTTCACAAACTTCCAAAGCGCTTAATTATATCTTTTTTCTCACAAGCTCGAAAAAAGATCTGAGTTACTAATATATCTGGCTTCGAGTGATTTAATCACGAGAAGGCAAAAATTTTATTTTACATCGACAGTGGACAACTATAAAAAAATAAATTATTATAATAAATGTGTAATATCTATTTTGATATCGAATCCATGCTCCAGAAAATTCAGCGCACATACTCACAATTATTGTTCGAATCTGAAAAATCTATGTTAATTTCTTCTCCTAAAATATAAAGATATTTAGTTTTGAAATAGTTGATTTTTAGTGAATCGCATGGATATGATTTGCCATGCGTTTTATACATGTAACGCGCATACTCTAATCTTCTAACAATTTTTTCATTACCAGATTCATTAATACGGTAATATTCAGGATTCGATAGCCACTTTAACATATAAGTCTATCCTGAATATTCAACGATTCTATAGCCTTGCTGATATAATACTATAAAAGCAATTATATATGATACAAGACCTAATCGTTCACGTAGCTGATCTTTCTTTTTATTTACCTTAGTCGATGTATGATAACTAGGAGCTTTTTTAATATGAATATTTATATCTAAAAACTTCTTCTCATTAGGGGTGTCATCATTCCTTACCA